GACCTACATAGAATATTGGATATTGGTTTCAACATTCGTAACTGGAACGCGATATATTTGTGTAATTCATCAATTCATCAACTATCTCAATGAAGACGAGACAGGCAGATAAACAACAATTTTCTCTGCAATGAAGAACACTGTATATACCTAACCCACCATGCGTCTACCTCCTTTGCAGAGAGGGTTTATAAACGCCGAGTTGATACTCTCCCCTCGTAAGGGTACCTGTCGTGTTTCCATAGAGACATAAAGCTGAATATCTGTCTTATATGTTTTCTTAAGAAACTGGAAAGGATATCAATATATTGCCTTCCGTACGAATATGATGATCTGAATTCTGTAAAGTATACTCTGGTCAGGTCTCTCTGCGGATCTTCTGTTCGGTTCGTTTTGACTGGGTGGTTTTCTACGATTGAGTGGCAAGTATCAAACACTGCTTTTCGGAGCTGCAACCAAACATCACATATTAATCGGAGTACATTTGAATCAGGAAATTGATATCATCAGATGAAATACATGGATGTTGAATTTGAGACATACCTGAATGATATTTTCATCGTCCGTAACTGGATTGATATATATCAATCGAAACACATTCAAATCAGAAAATAAATATCTTTAGAGGTAATACATAGATGTTGAATCTGAGACATACCTGAATAATATTTTCAACGTCCGTAACTAGATTGCTACATATCCGCTTTCTTTCCGTATAGTGGTTTTTCCAGTAGGCATCTTCCACATGTTCAATTACGTGGGTTATATCAAGGACCTTGAAGGCCAAACAATGTGCTGCTCAGATCTAAAACTAAGTATCAATTTCAAATTTGAATCGTGAGATCTACATAGAATATGAATCTATGGAAAGTCTGGATATTTTTTTCAACATTCATAACTGGAACGCGATATATTTTTGTAATTCATCAATTCATCAACTATCTCAATGAAGACGAGGCAGGCAGATAAACAACAATTTTCTCTGCAATGAAGAACACTGTATATACCTAACCCACCATGCGTCTACCTCTTTTGCAGAGAGGGTTTATAAACGCCGAGTTGATACTCTCCCCTCGTAAGGGTACCTGTCGTGTTTCCATAGAGACATAAAGGTGAATATCTGTCTCATCTGTTTTCTTGAGAATCTGGAAAGGATATCAATATATCGCTTTCCGTACGAATATAAGGATCTGAATTCTGTGAAGTATTCTCTGGCCATTTTTCTTTGCGGATTCTTTGTTCAATTCGTCGTGACTGGATGGTTTTCTCTGATTCAGTGACAAGAATCAACACTTTGCTTCTCAGATCTGCAAATAAACATGACATCAAATATTGAAGTCCATAAAAATTAATACTGATTTTCATGAGAGGCGGAACACTGATGTTGAATCTGAAACATACCTGAATAATATTTCCAACATTCGTAACTGGAACGCGGTATATTTTTGTAATTCATCAATTCATCAACTATCTCAATGCATTCAGATATACAACACTTTTCTCTGCAATGATACTGCAATACTGCAAAAATTATCTTTCATTTCCACTCATGAAGCAACGTTGTCAAGTCACCAATTCTAATCAGTTTATCATAAAGATTAGAGTCTTGTCGTTGGATAATACACGAGATAAAACATAATAAGAGTAAGCCATGATATTATAGATCATTCTTGACTTCTTTGAGCAACCAGCATGTCTGTTTATCTCGTGTACCCTATAACAAAATATCATATTGATGTTGAAGACTTGGCAACAATGTGCTGAATGCTGAGAACTGACAAGGCAACGCCCACAATTCGTGCGCCGGGTTGTCACGTTTAACCTCAAATATCCTCTAGTGTGAATTAATATAATATGATATGAATATTAACACAAATGTATTATAAATAATAAGCCTCAATAGATGAGGGAATAGTTTGAGACAATTGATTTTTATGTCTAATTATAATTTCAAAGAAATTTTGACGACTTCGGAAATTTCTCTGTGAAAATTGGCAGTTGCGGTACCTAGCTCAGCACAGTCAGCGATACGGATTGACAATTTTTTTTCGGTTTTTTTCTAATCGCATACATTTCACAAAAAATACGTATATGTATATGGAAATTAATCAAAGGAGTACCTACTCTAAGATTTCTAGATGTATCGAGTGGCATCGGCTCAAAATGCCTATCTGATTATACTATCACTCATAATGAAAAAAATGTAATGAGCACTCGGAAATATCTAAAATAATTGACAAATTATTCTATATGGAACGAAATCCATCGATAATTGAGTTGAAATTTGAGGACTGGTTATTTTTTGTGATAAAATTGGAGTTTTTGAATAACGAGTTCTATAAAAATTCTATTTCTATTTTTCAAATTGGATGCGCACTGTTGAAAAACATAAGTTTTTTAAAAAATTGTTGTTGTTATTCTAAAATTGTTATATCCGTCATTCGGTTGCCCCCTCACGAGCAACCCTCAGAAGTCTTCGAGAGTCTTGTGCGAGCAAGGAATGACGGGGGCCTTACCTTTTAACGTGTGATCCCAAACACTTTCTTGGACCATCAGAAAAATTTCTGCAGTCGATGGGAATCGAGCCCACGACCGGCAAGCGAATGCCGATCAGAATATTGACACTGTCCGCACGGCTACCTATTCCCCTAGTCTTTTGTTTTGCCTGAAGACGAATCTGGATTCTAAATTCGATTCATATTCAGTTTTGATGAGAAATATGAGTTGAATGTATACCTATCAAGTATGAATCGATTATATACGCAGTGGTTCAAAAGTTATGACCTGACTATAGATGAAGATATTGCCAAAATCAAGATTACGTTCTGTATCACTGTTAGTGAAGATGGTAAATTCTCAAAAGATACAGTTTCAAACAGGAAGCACGGAAATCCTTGATCGGAGAAAATACAACAAACGGTATGAAACATACAGGGTATGTCACGACAAGCTTACAGTATCTCTATATCGAGAATCAGTCGGGGGAAGTCCATGAAAATATGCATGTGATCAGAATTCTGAATATCGAACCACCCTGTATCTGTTCCGATTAAATATCAGTAAATATAGTGAAACAGAAGTTGAGATAGGGGGACCGACATATCAGAGCTGTTTTGACCGATAATGAATATTTTCGACACAAAAAAATCCTATAAAGTTGAAAAATATCGATTTTGAACACCCTATATCTCTGTAATCATTCTCGATAGACCCTAAGTATGATATATCGATGAAATAAGCTCTTCAGGGAGAATCTTGAAATGCGATAAAATAAAGGGTGTTTTGTTCGACACATCAATGTTGCTACTACTTTCTAGTAGAAGCGGCAACACTGCATTGTCGAACATATCTTGAATGAAAAGAGCGTATACCAAAATTAAGGTGGCTTAGCCACCTTAACCAAAATATAAGCATGCACATTTTCATGGATTTCTCCCGACTGATTCTCGATTTAAAGATAGTGTAAGCTCGTCGTGACATACCCTGTATAGGGTAATGAAGTTAAATTAATACAGAGAAATATGAGGAAAAATTCAGAGAACTTCTCTGCACTTACCAGCGTGAAAAAAGTGAGGCTTTGATGAAACAACACGAATCACTAGAACAACACACGGCCCCGATATTATTATCATTCAATACAATCACTCAGTTTTTAAGGAACACTCAGTTTGGCACGATAAATAATTCTTTTCGCGTATTTATCGATGTCGTTCACAAAATTCGACTGTACGTAATGACATCTAATATAAAACTGTTTTGATTTACCACCTGGTCCCGAATGAATGACTAATAAGTTGAATCATGCTGTTAGGCGATTAATTTCCGAACAAATGATTTATCTATGACTAATGATGATAATGGAATTAAACGGGGGGAAATCTACTTATAGGCAATTTATAGGTCGTGCGAAACAGTTTTTTTTATATGTTCTGAATAATTCACATTATTTATTGCCCCTCCCTGAGATTATTTCTGCGGACGCCCCTGTGAATAACCAATAAACAACAGTTCGCATTTTTTCAAAATCAACGGAACACACTCTCGATACTTGTACGGTTTGTGGCCGTTTGCTGAGTCAATGACGGCTAAATATCTAGAATGTCTGACATAACCTGTCAGCAGTCTAGATATTTAGACAAGTTACGGCAGACAGTCTAGATATTTAGCCGCCATTGGCTGAGTTCAATCTGGAACACAAAACCCTGCCATTTGCCTTTGTCAAATGTCGTTGTCTGATGTCATATGTTCCATGCTAGTACAGATCAATCATCAAAATACAAGCCGACCAAGCACCAAGCCGTTAATGGAGTAAAAACTACAGAAAAATCGAAAACACATTTGCCATTCTGCATCCGCAGTGAGTTTCCTCCAGTTTCCCCGAATTCCATGCCAGCAAGCTCGTAATCGCCGAGAATGTCTTCCCGTCTATTCGTGGGCGGACTCACGCAGCGCATCCGCGAGCGCGACATCGAGAAGTTTTTCCGAAAGTTCGGCAAAATTAAGGAAATTTCCCTAAAGAACGGGTACGCGTTCGTGGAATTCGGCAGCAGCCGGGACGCCGAAGACGCCACCTACGAGCTGAACGGCAGAGAGCTGCTCGGCGAGCGCATAACGGTGGAAAGAGCACGAGGGACTCCGCGGGGCAGCGACCACTGGCGCGACAGGGAAAGAAGCGGTGGCCGCCGCAGCTACGGGGGCCCCCCACCTCGCAGCAGCAGGGCCCCGCGCGGCAGAGAGAGGTCCGGCACCTTCACCAGAACCGAGTACAGGGTGATAGTCGAGAACTTGTCTTCGCGCACGTCCTGGCAGGACTTGAAAGAGTTCATGCAGAAGGGCGGTGAGGTGGCGTTTGCCGACGCTCACAAGCTGGTGCCCGGGCAAGGCGTTGTGGAGTTCATGTCCTACAGTGACATGAAGAATGCAATTGATAAGCTGGATGATACTGAGCTGAACGGGCGTAGGATTAAGATGGCGGAAGACAGACGTGGGCCTAGGAGGAGGTCTTCAAGTCGCAGCAGGTCAAGGTCCAGGCAGAATGGGAAGTCAATGTCCAGATCAAGGTCTAGATCACATTCCAAGGAGGACAGCAGAAGGAGGTCTCGGTCCAGATCAGAAGAGAGAGAGTAATTTTTCATATTTCTTCTCAGATTTGTTTTTGTATGAATAGAGAGTTAGGTTAATCATTGTGTTCATACAATCTTGTGTTTGCAACATGTAAAAGTTTCTATTGCTGAATATCATAACTTTCCAGATTTTGATTATTTAAATCTTGGAGATCCCTACACAAGTTGTGAAACATATCAAAAACTATCTAGAAATGCCTATTACAATGAATATTATTCATTTTAGCTACACTAGTAGTTTAGGCATTTCTTGATATTTTTGTGGATATATTCCAGTTTTTTTGTGCTTATTTGACCTCTGCCAAATTTTCAATTTTATTCATTGAAATTTCCTATAATTTTGTAGCATTTTTAGCATAATACACATATAGGATTATTGTCTATGAATGTTTATTATTATGATTTCAGTGCTCCAGATAAGTTATCAAAAATGGAAAAATAATATCCTTACAGCAGTATGAGTTTGAATATTGTAGTTTTATATTTTGTGACTATAAATACATAGGTGATTTGTTTAGATGGAAACCAGTCTTTGTTGTGGATTTAATTGGTTTATTTACAACACTTTCCAAAATTATAATTGATATGCTCCAAAATGACTACTATCAGTGTTTATCAGAATGTATTTTGCCATAATGCACTATGGATAATCAGAAAAGAAGTGTATTGCATTCAAATCTGAAAAATATTTTCTAGAATTATCAGGCAGCTTTGAAATGGATTTAAATAATCTCAATTAAATTCAGTAGTATCAAAATTATAGGAGTGTTTCACCCAGTATGTTGATAACAAGCCACAGACAATAACCCTAGTTGACAAGTAGATTCACTTTGAATTAATGAAATCAAAACAAAATTTTTCAAATACTTTGGCCTCAGTTTTTTCAATTATTGGTTTTAGAAACAGCAATGAGTTATTTTGTCATAATGATAAGACTCAAGTGAAACTACTTGTTATACAGTGTGATCCAGGATAACTGACAAATACCAGCAGCAGACCAAAAATATTAGGGCATCAAATTGTCAATTAAGATTTTTTTTTGAAGTTCATCCTTGTTTAGCAAAATCAATTGAAAATTCTATTCTCAACTCCAGAGGTTTTAGTTTAAAGTTCCTGATACAATTATTCTTGGAACATTCTTATCATCATTTTTCTATGAGTTAGGTAGAAAAATATGTATTGAAAAGATGAAAATCCATTGTCAAGTTATCCTTGGACACTCTGTATGTATGTTGTCAAATGAAAATTTCAAATGGCGTTCACTTCCACTCTGGGCTAATTTTATTGTTTTCAAATTAGAAAATGGCCAACGTTCCTGCAGTCAGTTCAAAGGAAAGCCATTAGTCTATGCCCCATCACTCAGAACCCCATCAATCAGAATCCCATCAATCAGCAGACCTTTCACTCTTTTACCGTTACTACTTTGACCACACAGCTCAGCAGAATTTCAAGCGCTCACCCCCTAAGCAGTTGAACTAGAAAGCCACAGATCAGCGTTTCATGGGAAATCCTTCTTCTGTAGGGCGTCAGCAGAACAGTTGCAATTTGACGTTTTACAAAAGAAGGGTCCACCGCCAATATTAGTCCCTCAGCGGCCGTCCTTTTGCTGCCCTTAGTAAAAAAATAGGCAGTGTTTGCTCCAGAGCTGCTCTACAGCAATCCAGTAGCCTCTTGCCTTGGATTTGATTCAGCAGAAATCTTAGATAGGTAGGTGACAAACAATTGTTCGGAAGCAGCAGAGAAGCATTTTTTATGGAGGTGAGTATATGCCCTGGATGAGTGGGGCAGTTGAATATTATGGGGTTGCATTTTCATGAACCAACAGATATTTTTGAATTTTATTTTCAGAACTCCAAAAAATTACATGACCTCATCTTGAAATATTCAAGATGGCAAAAGAGTTTGTCATTTCTCCTTTGAGTAAAGGATTTTTTTAATTAAAAAAAAAAAGTTTTTCGAAAAATGTCTGAAATTATGTATTTTGAGAACTGCATTTTCACCCAAAAAATCATCCATTGAAGTTTTTTGCAATGGTGAGTATACAAAATGGAACTTGCACTCTGGGTGAGTGGGGCAGGTGAATATGAGGTTCCATTTTCCATGGACCAACTGAAATTTTGGAAAAATTATGATTTATTTTTCAAAACAATCAAAAACACTACATGACCTCAGAGTTTGTTATTTTACTAAACAGTTTCATTCTGCTTCATGTTCATTGATGATGATGGTCCTTGTTCAAATCTTGAATCCTGTATTTTGAAATCTATACATTTTTTATTCTATGTTTGTAAAAGAGCCCTCCTCCTTTGGACTGGGGCTCTTTCTCCAAAATATGAAAATTAACTCTTGCAATTTTTAGATAACACTCTTTCTTCCAAATTGACTAAAAAAACACTGCCAAATATCAACAAATTTGGGTAGAGGATTTTCATGATGGGTAATAATTTAATAACAAAAAACCGATTTTGAAAAACCTGATATCCTGTATCTTGGACACTCAAAGAATCACCTCTGGAAGTTTGACCACATACCTAGTTTTCACCTTGTATAGTTCTAGTGTCTATACAGTTTGTCAACTCCTAGATTAAAAATTAAAGATGGCGGATGAGTTCGTTTATTGACATATTGGTTTATTGCCTTTTGGGTTTGAGAAATCTGATTTGCCTCAAAATTTAACCTGAATTTGAACTAGAAACTGGCAGATCAGCGTTCCATGGGGGTATTCCTTCTTCTGTGTTGGCATTAGCAGTACAGTTGCAATAGGTCTTTTCATTTAGATGACAAATGACAATCGTTGTTTACATCTCGCCTCCAACGACAGTGGCGGCGAAAATTTTTTTAAGGAATTATTCAAATTATTGTTGTTGACATTGACATTTCTCATTTGATGTTGATCAGGAGAATAATGTGCATGCAGAAAAAAAATCAAATTTATATCATGTTGAAGAAAGCAGGAAATAATGGAACAAAATGTACACAAGGTTTCTACAGCAGAATGATTGAGTTATAAATAGTTTTCATCTAGTATTTATTCTCCACTGAGCACCATTGACGACATGAAAAATAAAAATACAACTTTACCAGGAGCCTCTCATTCAACGATACAACTCTGTGGCTTTAAATTTACCGAAATGAAGGAAAAGTCTCACTACCTGATTCAGGTAATATGTGGTAGGTCTAATCTACATGATTTATTTTTTTAAATGTAACTACACTCTCAATCTGGAGGCTTATTTTCCATGCTGTTACTGTAAAGTGGTAGCGAAGCTAATGACTATTATTGAAGTATGTAGAAAAGGTTCAGTTTAGGAGGAACATTCTGATCTTGGTGTGCATGAAATTATTTGGAGGCTTCTTGATGCTGTTACTGTAAGTGGAATGGAAGATATAATGACTATTGAAGTATGTGGAGAAGGTTCATCAGTTTAGGAGGAACATTTTGATATTATGGTGTGCATGAGAGTTTTAATATCAGGCATTGATGTTATACAAAGGGATTAGTTCAGTAATAATTTTCATTATATTTTGAATAAGTACTTATTACATAAGATTTTGCTCAATTTTGTATACTTCCATACCAAAATTCCAACAGTCAGAACATTTCTGCTTGGACTCATTGATAAGATGCTGAGAGAGGGCATTAGTTTCTAGAGGCAAGCAGTATAAGCTTTTGAAAATATTTAATTTTTGTTCTGTACTCAACTATATCATATATAGTCACAGATTAACAATAAGGTTTGTTAATCTGTGACATATAGTCATCTATGAAAATATACAATAGGTACTTTGGATTATCAAAGAATAGTCCTCTGGGACAGAAATTGTTCAAAGCTTTCTTTAATATGAATAATCAACACATTATTTTGTATCTGGACAAAAGGCCACATTTGATTATTCACAAGCAAAATAAAAATCAAGACCATTCTGAGTTATTTAATTATTATAAATTCAAATTAGTGAATAATATCAAGGACTACATAAAGAATGTCAGATCATTTTCTGATATCAAAATGATAATACTCCTGTTCAAAATTAAGGCACCACTCACATTTCTTTGAGTTTTAAATTTTTCTACCATAGCATTTAATTTTGCTCAAGTTCTCAATATTTGAATAAGGATAACTCATCCTCAATGCAATACTCTCTGATTACCCTTATTTATATATTATTATCCTAATAATTTACTAGAAATTGCAATATAAAGAATATATCAAAATGATTATTAATGACTACAGGTGTATTATCTAATGCCATATGCTTACAATATAAATCAAACTATTTGAAAGCTTGAAAAGTCCAGTCTGTAACATAATGTTATATGCAACAATTTCTGATAAATTTGTGATTACTTCATTAGATCATTAAACATAATATTCAAATTATAACTAACATATATCATTCATTCATTAATCAGTTTTGCTGTGAAAATAATAAAGGAAAGCACATTTTATAATTAGGTATTTTCGAAAAATTCATACATGACAGCATTCCTGATTCACAAATTTATTACAATTCATTATTACTGTTTCACTCCTAGAAAGTCATGAAAACAAAATATAAACATTTCAAAATTAACAGATCATTTATTCATTAGTTTTGATGTTAGAAATAAAAGGGAGCAATTGTATAGTTATTATATCAAAAAAAACATCACTATATCTTTACTGATTCTCTTCTAGAAAATAATTAGAAGAAAATATGAACATTGCAAAATAACATAGAACATTAATGTATTGAAAATAAAGGGTAGCAAATGTTATAAGTTATTACATCAGAAAATTGTTCACACTACATCTTTACTGATCCACTTCCTCTAGAAAATAATTAACACAAAATATGAAAATTTAGCAGTAACAGAACATTTGATGAGTATTAAGAATGAAGCCAGCAAATATATTTACAGTTGTTATTATATTGAAAATATATGATTCACTTCTAGAAAATAACTAAAACAAAATATAAACATTACAAAATAAAATATATCATCGATGAATTATTTTTGCTGAGTATTAAAAATGAAGGGGAGCAAATGTTATAACAGTTATTACATAAAAATTCTTTACACTACATCTTTACTGATTCACTTCTTGAAAATGATTGAAAGCAAATTAAGAAAGAGATTTAGAACTAACACAGAACATTTATTCATCATTTTTGATAAGTAGGTACTAAGAATGAATCCATCAAATGTAATAATAGTTATTATATCAAAAAAATCATTACTCTACAGCATTAGGTAGTGATTTACTTCTAGAAGTTATTCAAAACAAAATATTGAAATTTAGAACTAACATGGAACATTTATTCATCATTGTTGCTGAGTAATAAAAAATAAAGGGAGCTAAATATAATAATATAATTATTACGTTCAAAAATTCATTACACTACAGCACTACCAATATCAACTTCTAGAAAATAACTAAAACAAAATATGGAAAAATTGAACTTATTCATTATTTTTGATAATTAATAAGGATTAAAATGATTAGTCATTATATTGACAAAACACACTTGAGAAGAGAAATATAATACATTATACTGGGTGACACAATGTAACTCTTAGTCTTTACGGTAGAAGGAGAATAAAATGAACCTACTCACAGGGGATTTTTTTTCTTCCTCAAAACACAAGATACGTTTTCACTATATGAGAAGATATACAGGAAGCAACAAAAAGTGTAGGAATTTTGAATAGAACACCCTATATATCTATCTATAAATCGAGGTATATTGATGTTATCTATGACAATCAATTCTCATTGGTAGTGATCACTGAAAATCATTATTGTAATCATTGAAGAGGCCTCCTTTTGAAAATCATTCAAAATCGATCAAACTTTATTATTTCTGAATGCTCATAAACTGAGAAATAGTGTTCCAATTCAAAATTCACACACTTTTTGCTGCCTCCTATATATTTTTCTGTAGGTAAAAATTTATTTGTCAATTCTTGTCGGCAAAAAATCCCCTGTGAGGCTATTTTAGTTTTTTTTCTACTGTCAAAAATAAAAT